CGCGATGTACGTGTCGCGGGGAGTCGGGGTGGGGGTCGGAGAGAAGAGGGCGCCTCCGAGGCCCCGGGGCGGGGAGGTGAGGGCTCCCAGAGGGAAGCCCTGGCGGCGGCTCCGGAGGTTGCGGTGCTGTCGGTGCGTCCAGGGGTCTCGGGTCAGTGTCCGGTCAGGGCATAGACCCAGCTGCGTCCAGGAAGCAGCCGAGCCGTATTTCCCTCTCCCTCTCCCTTCCTCGCTCTAAAAAGTTCAGTGTAAGTCGGGCAGCGTGGCCCAGTGGCTGTGTCACCACGAACCGGGAGGTCACGGGTCGCCTCTGGGTCGGATTCTGGGTCAGGGCACGTGCCGGGGATGCGGGCTCCATCCCCAGTAAAGGGCACGCAGGAGACAGTCGATCCGTGATGCTCCCTCATCATGGATGTTTCTCCCTCCCGCTCTTCCCTTCCTCTCTGTAATCAATAAAGGTATTTTTAAAAATTTCAATTTTAAAAAGCATATCCTGCCCTAACCGGTTTGGCTCAGTGGATAGAGCATCAGCCTGTGGACTCAAGGGTCCCAGGTTCGATTCCGGTCAAGGGCATATGCCTTGGTTGGGGGCACATCCCCAGTGGGGGGTGTGCAGGAGGCAGCTGGTCGATGTTGCTCTCTCATCGATGTTTTCTAATTCTCTATCCCTCTCCCTTCCTCTCTAAAAAATCAAAATATATTTTTTAAAAATAAAAATAAATAAAAAGCATATCCTCAGGTGAAGAACTAGTAAAATAAAAAAGGAAAAAATTCTATTTATAGTAACATCAATGCAGAAATTGATTATTTGTTCTGGGAATTTTTAATATTTCAAAGCTGATAGAGTTTTGTAGTTTTGGGGACATTACCTAAATGTGAATTGAAGAGACCCTCCGACTCTGTACAGGCTACTTCTTGCTTGGTAGTAAAAATGCACATTCTAAACTGTAAAAATGCTTCCCTTGAATGTATAGTTATTCAGCGCAAGTGCTTATATTTGTGTAGAATCAGACCGATGCCTACAGCCTGAACCTGTGTTGGCAGATTACCAATCCTCTTACAGATAAAGAGCTGAATACTTCCTCTTTCTGCACATGCTCTACAGTGCTGCCCAGAACAGCCAGAATCCACAAAGTAGTGTTATGGGTTCACTCAGCGAGATAGACCACCGACTCAGAATTTAAATTTAAGAGCCTTTATTAAGCTGGCCAGCTGACCACAGTCACAGCACCCTGCCGAAGCAAAGGCTGAACTGCAGCCCAGACTGCAAAAGTTACAGCGTTTTTATCTGCAAAAACCACAAAGTTACAAAGCCTTGTTTACACAATTAGTTCCCGACACAGTATAGCATTATCTCCTTCCTATCTATGTTTTCCTGGAACAGAGAGCACAGCATATTGAGGAGGGACCATATCTCAAGGCCTGACCTGATGTCAGTACCTTCCTATCTATGTGTTCCAGGAACAGACAGCACAGCGCGCCCCGTCTGGCCGAAGTGCCAGATATGCAGCCCAATACAGTAGGGACGAGGCATGCAGGTGAACTTCGAAGCTTTTAGAGGTGATACAGAGTAAATGAGACCGTTTGTTTCCTTAATTTCATCTACTTGACTTATGCAATAAGAGGGAAAATACTTCCTGACAGAAGTATTCTTGACGTACTTACTGGGTTTGTTCTCTGCGTGAATCGGGTTTGTTCTTTAGATTACAGCACTGATGTGGTGATCAGCCCCGTTGAAAGGGAGCCCACTGCCAGAAGGCGCATCTTCCAGAGAGGAAGGGGCTCTGAGCTGGGGTGCCGGGGCAGCGTCCTTGGTGAAGGTTGGGCTTCATGGATGTCCTGTCTGTTGGGTTCTGGTGAGTACTAGCGATAATTTCACAAGAAGGGACAGACCTCCTTTATTTTATGAATGAATTTTTGTGAAGGGAAGTGTTCATTTTGTTGGGAATTTATTGAGGGGATATCTTGGGAATTGCCATTCACACTGAGATTGAAGAAGTAATCATGTGTTGGGAGGTTGTGTTTGTGAATTTGAGTGGGAATGAAGAATGATAATTGTGAACAGTGTAGAAATGATAGCAATACTTAATAGTGTTTGTGCTGTTCTGAGTGAGTATACAACATTTCAGACTTTAGATGTCTGGGAGAGACATTGAGAGGAATGTGGACTAGATAGAGTGATACTTAGGGGAGATAATATCCTGAGACATATTTCTATTAAAGTGCATGTTAGCTTGAAAGTGGAGGTGAGAGTGCAGAGATGGACCTCAAACATGAGCTTGGTCGCTTTAGTTTGGAAAAAGTAATGGAAGAAACTAGGTAAAAGCGTGCATCAGTGGGAAGGGATGAAGGATTAGCGTGGAGCCTTGTAATCTTCCTGCAATATTGTTTGAGTCCTTCTCAAGTGATGCGGAGTTGGGATGAGTATATTAGTTTCAGGCCATTCGTAGGCTGACATGTTAGGGAAACCTAGGGAAAAGTAAACTCAAAAGAAGTCATATTACACTTGTTATTTGGTTCCCAGTAAAAGCCTGAGGCATGTACGTTGCATTTACTTATGCCGATGTCATTGGTGGTGATGTTAGTTAGCCAACTGGTGGGGGGGTATGAGCTTAAGGCAACCACACCTTCAGCTTTTGGTTTGATTGTAAAGGCGGGAACAGTAGAGAAGGACCATAAGAGGAAATCAGTTCAGAGGAGGTTTTAGTTTGAAGATGCAAGAGATTTGATAGGTTTAAATGATGAGGGCGGGGGGAGGGGGGGGATGCACTGTGACAAGAGGGGGAAGTCGCTTGTAAAGGAAATAAACATTTTAGTAAATAATACAAGGTTCCTGACAAAACAGAAGACAAATGGTTCCATTGGAGTCTAAATGGTTCTTCAGTGTAATAGGAGAGAAGGAGTAACTAAAGGGTATAAATGCAGGAAAATTTGTACATCTTATGGTGTTAAACCCAGGTAATTTGTCGACTTATATAATATATCCACTTGGTAGGAAATACCTCATCTATTGAAAGTGAGGGGAGGGTGAGAATGTGTGAAATTAAAGGCATGGAGAGCATTAGCAATGTTTTGGGAGCATGGAAGATCGGTTAACTAACCAAGACATGCCATTCTGAAGCCACTATGAGAGGTGACTCCTGCTGTCAAGCAGCCCTGGAAAAGGCACTATTTGGAGATGCCTGTGTGGGAGTATTCTTCCACAGCTGTGGCAAATGGTCAGCAGGAATAGGAAATGATGGTGGTCTTACGGAAGACCTGTTGAAACAGGTAGCCGAGTTACACTGGGCAGTAGAAAAGGAGAGTGGAGGCTGAAGTGTGGGAATTGGGGCAGTGCAGTGATTCCTGTGTGGTACAGAATATCGGCATGGGGAGTAAGTTTTGGTGAAAGAGCAAAAAGGAGAATGCATTGCAAAAATAGTATGGGTCCTCTGAATTTTCTTTTTTAATTCTCACCCAAAGATATGTGTTTATTGACTTTTAGAGAGAAAGGAATTGGGAGAAAAAGAGAGAGAAACATTGATGGATTGCCTACTGTATGCACCCCAACTGGGGATCAAACCTGCAACCCATGTGTATGCCCTGAGCAGGAATTGAACTCAAAATTTTTTATGGCATACGGGACAATGCTCCAATCAACTGAGCCACTCAGAAGGCATGGGCCTCTGGATTTTAATGTTGAAGGTACTATTCAAGATGTGCTGTATAACCCTTAAGGAATCTCTGCTTAAAAGACAAGTGGAAGCAAATGCAAATTATATGTGTCCCTTTCTAACGTATGCTTATATGCATTGTATATGCTAGTATTTGTGTGATTTTTGTCACATTACTAAAGTTTTCTGAGCTTCTGATCATGTCATTTATTAACTTTATAAATAAACCATAATCAGCAGGATTACTTTGAAGAACAAATAAGCAAATGTATGTCTATCTCTTTGCACAGGATCACATGTAATGAAGCTTTACTGTTACAAGTTACAAATGGGTGAGTTACACCTACTTCTGTTATGACTCATTATCATCACTTGTTTATGAAATACACAGAATTATTGCCGTTTTAGGGGAGGGTTTATACTTTATAAATGCTGTCTCAGGCACACTGAAATAATGAGATGAAGGAAAATTGCAGCTAATATGACTGGCAAAGGGCAGGAGTTCAGCTTCCACTTTTCTAAAATATCAGATGGAACAACAGAATTTCCTATTAGAATGCTTTCACTCTATATTTCCTAAGGCTACTGCCCTGTGAGGATCGTCAATCATGATAGTAGTTATGTAACCCATGCCCTAACGCTATTATCTGATGCAGGGGATCTTCAGGGATAAATTTCAAAGTAGATTCCATTGGCTCCACTAAATGGAATAAGTCAACCCATCAATGAATTAATGAACACTATCATAAAATGTAATCGTAATTGTCTTGGTGCATAACCAAATTCCTGCAGAACAAATCTAAAAGTCAGTGTTGAAGGATTGATATTTCTGGAAACCTCACTTGGAGAGGACAAAATGATTCAGGACAAAAGTATCTTGGAGGGCCAAGGACAGGAAATAGGAATGGACTGAGGCACCAAAAGGCAGGTTAGAGTTGGAGAAATATTGCTGTGCGCAAACTAAGAATAATTAAGCCTGAGAAATTTCCCAGTTGTTACTGGAGGTGGGGACACCTGTGGCATGAGTCGGGGATCTCTGTGTTTTGGCCTCAAGAGGGAATTGGAAAATTCTGAACACCCTGGATTAATTCCCTTACCACACTCCTCTCTAAAGTGAAGGTGTTGGGGTCTTCTTTTGACCTGGTAGAGGAGAGCTCTCCCGCTGTTCTCTCAGCAAACACTGCTGTTTCTGCTGGTTGGGCTGGCGGCTACTTCCACGTGAAGCATTGGGGCTTCGTGACAGTTGGGTCTAGAAATTGTAGATAAAGAAGTTTCATGGCTTCTTTCTCCTCCCACAGCTTTGCCTCCTGGTGCTTGGACTGTGTGTCAGTGAAAACCCAGAAGACAGTTGACAGCTGAGCTAGTGACAATGGCGTCACAGGTGAGTTGGGAATTACTGTTTCTACTGAAATGCATCTCCATTGCCAGGAAGTGGATATATTTCTCCTACAAGCATGGATGTTGTGAGTACACGCGAGACTTTTCACAGATCTGAGCTTCAGTTAATTTTCCCCGGTACTCTGGAATGTTCATGTTGGGTCAAGGACGCATTAACTGGCAATCTCTTTCCCATCATTATACTACGATATCCCAGCCTCTAGTAATGCTGTGCATTTATAGGAGAGATGAGAAAAGTTTCACTTTCTCATCGAATTCATGGCTTGGTTAGCAAAAAATGTTACACATTAATCATAAAGGGTGTCCCAAAATTCACGCAAAAAGTAATTTTGATGGAAAGCACAGATTAATAATTAAAAATTGTGAATTTTTTCTTGATTCATAAAGTATATAGTATAGGGTTATGTATGGAATAGCATATTGGGTAAATGTCCTCCACGGCTTTGCTGGCGCATACGCACTCTTGTTGTTATTGCCTGAGCAGCCACATTTTCAAAGAAGAATGGTCCGATGGTGCCTCCAGCCCAAAATCCGTACCAAACAGTGACACGTTGTGGATGCATTTGTTTCTCAACAATCACTCGTGGATTTTCTGAACCCCAAATGCGACAATTTTGTCGATTAACCAAGCCATCAAGATGAAAATGAGCCTCATCGAAATTCAGCCACATTTATGCAAAACATACTGTATACTTTATGAATCAATAAAAAATTTACAATTTTTAATTATAGACCTGTGTTTTCTATCAAAATTACTTCTTGCGTGAATTTTGGGACACCCTTTATGATTAACTGTAATGGCCTTACGATATTGAAGTGAATACAAGTGAGGAAGGAGCAAAACCTTATAGCCAGAAAGGGCAGCAGATGTTTCCACAGGTGAGTTTGGCCAGTCCACGGTTACAGGTGCTGACGGGCGTACTGATTAGTATTGAAGGAAGATAAATAATGATTATGCCAAAAAAGGCAATGAGCAGTCAGTCATTTATTTTTTCCAATCTCAACCCTCTTCCAATTTTTATAGAATATGTTTGCGCTTTTGAAATCTAAAAAGGAAAACCAAAATTCTCATTATTACCCATGTCTCAAGTTATGAATTTTCTTCTTGTAATTTTCCCTTTCTTCAAATTTGGTTAAGTGGAGGCAATGCATAGGGGGTATTGTTTCCTTAATTTGGGTTGTGATTCAGGAGGAGGAACATAGAAGGTAGAGTGAAACTTAGAGCCTCGTGGAAATTTTTGATGAAGTAAAGAGCCCAGAATAATCAAGTGGTTTCAGGTAAACTTTAGTAGAGAGACAAGATGGAGAAACAAAAGAGGCGATGACAACGGGTAATTGGAGGTCCCAGAAAAATTGAGAAACGGGGGCCTCGGACCATAGGAAGATTCAGGATACTCCTGGCCTTCAGCACAGAAGTCTCAGGGTCTCTGGCTCATGCTGCTGAGCCGTTATCTTTAGGCTGTGTCACCAGCACCTGAGCTGTGTGGAGACAACGGCTGCGCCTGCTGATCCCAAGTCCTGTATGAATTCTCTAAAGATATCTTTAGGCTGTGTCACCTGAGCTGTGTGGAGACAACCGGCTGCGCCTGCTGATCCCAAGTCCTGTATGAATTCTGTTCAGTTTTGCAGAATTCTGGGCATTGCTTCAGTTTACTCTGTCATTCATTGAATAATAAACATGGAGCTTGTTTTTAATGTTGTTTGCTACATAGTTACCACTTTACACATGCTCATTGGATCTTAAAAAAAAATTATAACTACCATTACACCAGTTCATTGGTGATCAAACGGAGCTGATAAAGGAGAATAATCTGCACATAGTCATGGTAAAAAGGGGCAAATAGTGGACACTGCATTCCTTCTGATGAGTTTGTAGGTTTCCTTGAAATTGGAGAAGTGTTTTAATTATAAATTTCCAAGTGCAAATTTTGTAATCATCACTTGGAGTCATAATTACAAGTTTACTGGTATATCTCCAGGTTATATTACACCACACCTCATGTTATACTTCTTTACAGTGAAGTTTTATATATTTACTGTGGGTATATCTGAAAGTCAGATGTCCAGGTCAGCAATGAGAATGATGTGGCTGGATCCAAAATACTGTTTGAACTTCTATACGCTCAGCTGCCACTTTCTTAGTGCCGTGACCTACAGGGACCATCCTCCCCTAGCGATTGGCAGTCCTGGCACCGTCTGAAGCAACGTCCCTGATGTTTTAGGAAGCAGTGTCCTTCAAGGATGTAGCTGTAGACTTCACCCAGGAAGAGTGGGCCCTGCTGGACACACCCCAGAGAAAACTGTTCACAGAGGTGATGCTGGAGAGCATCAGTCATCTGGTTTCGATTGGTGAGTCTCTTCATATGTACTGTGCATGTATGTATTTATTCAGTCTACACGTATGTCAAAAAGCTTTCCCATTTCTTATTCCAAACTTTGTCTTGATCCTTTCATAAGTTTTCCAACTACCTTACGGTCAGTAATTTTCTTTACTTTTTACTTTTATTCAGCTTGTAATCCCAGTAGAATATAATCTTCCTGACATAATTTCATGTCTCCCTTGCTACTCAATATCCAACTCTCACACAGTGGTGGGAACTCACATTTATTTTTTAAATACTCACCAGAGGATATTTTTCCCATTGATTTTTAGAGGTAGTAGAAGGGGATGGAGGAAGGGGAGGGGAGAGAGAGACTCATTAAATGGCAAATGAGTCTCACATCAATGTGCGAGAGAATGTTGATTGGTTGCCTCTCTCACGTGCCCTAATCAGGGCCTGGGATTGAATCTGCAGCTGAGGTACATGCCCTTGACTTGGAATCCTTTGGTCTGAGGGCCAGTGCTCCAACCACTGAGCAAACTGGCCAGGGCAGAAACTCACTGTTTCTGAATGTGTAAGTAAATGTATTATTTAAAATATATAAATGTTTATTTTGCTGCAGGTACTGTTAGATCAGAACAAAGTATTAAAAATAACAAGACACTGTTTTCCACATAGAACTTAGATTTTTTTTCTGGTAGAAGTTGTATTTGGCCATAATAGTCAAGCACTGTGAAAACTTATATTTTCTCACTGAATGAAAATATTCATGATTCTACAATCTGTCTTTGAACTTGGGCATGGGCATCAGCAATGATATGTCTTTAATATCTCCTGGGACAAGTTTAAGAGATGTCATTGGCTGACTACCCATGTTACTTTCACTATACTCTTTCCTGGGCTAATTTTCAGAGGTTATCTTGCTTTTCTCATTTAGTTGACCCTGTTTTGATCACCATATACTGTTGTCAGCACAGAACTCAAAATCCATGTATCATTTACATACAAACAGGCAGTCAGCTCTACAAATCATACGTGATTTCCCATTTCAAGGAGGGAGAGCCACTTTCAAGAGAAGGGATTGGTGTTCTGCAAGGCCCAAGTCCAGGTGAGCACCAGAGGCTGTGCTTCAGGAAGAGAAAGAGCCTTGTCAGTAAGTAAGTGGGCCCTAAGGATGACTAGTGGAGATATCTGAGGTTAGTGTTGTTTTGTAAAACGTAGGGGACAAATTCTTGAAAGGTCATTATATTTTGCTGGTAGCAACTTCTCTTCAAGTGTCTCTCATTATCTTTAACTTTAGGGAACGTTATATTCATGTACTTAGAGGAGTTCTCTATTTACATCCCCCCTCCCCCCCAGATCTCCGTAGCTGGAGTTGAGCCCTATAACTCCATCTCGGCACCCCCACCACCCTGGAGCCCTCTGATTGTGCCTTCATGGTTGACAGCAAGGCCATCTATGATATCTATGGGAGAAACCTTGATATTGTGCGCCCAACCGACACTAACCTTAACCACCTTATTAGCCAGATTGTGTCTTCCATCATGGCTTCCCTTGAGTTTGAAGAGGCATTAAAAGTTGATCTTACAGAATTCCAGACAGACCTGGTGCCACAACCCCAATCCTCTTTCCTCTGGCCACATAGGCCCCTGTCGTCTCTGCTGAGAAAGCCTGCTATGAGCAGCTTACTGCAGTGGAGATCACCAATGTGTGCTTTGAGCCAGCCAACCAGATGGTGAAATCTGACCCTTCCTTGGTAAATGCCAGGCTTACTGCCTTTTCTGATTTGGTGACATTGTTCCCAAAGATGTTAGTGCTGCCATTCCCACCATCAAGTCCAAGCATACCATCACCTCTGTGGATTGCTGCCCCACTGGTTTCTGAGGTTGCATTAATTAGCAACCTACCACTGTGATGCCTGGTGGAAATCTGGCCAAAATTCAGTGAGATACGTGCATGCTGAGCAATGCCACAAAACACCACAGCCATTGCTGAGGCGTGGGCTCTCCTGGACCACAGTTTGACCTGTTGTATGCCAACCATGCCTGTGTTCACTGGCATGTGGGTCATGGAGTGGAGGAAGGAGAGTTTTCTGAGGCCCATGAGGACGTGGCTATCCTTGATAAGGACTGTGAGGAGGTTGGAGGATATAGTGCTGAGGACGAGAATAAGGGGAATAGTATTGACTTGTCTGCTGTCGTTTTATACTCCATTGTCTTGGGACTGTCTTATTTTGTGAAACCGTCCATTGTGTCTGACTTATCAATAAAAGTGATGTGTTTATGTGTTTTTTTAATTCACAAAATGTCCCTTTTCATGGACCTATTCTATGAATATGTCCCTCTCTTTTCCTCCCCAACTTGCCATCTTCATTTTATTTTTCTCATATTCTAGTCCAGAAAATGTCAGTTGATGTCTGTAATGTGTTTTTCCTTAGAGTATTCCTTACTTTGATGTGCTTTCCCATTTATGTGTTAATATTTAAAACAAATGGGCTGTGGGTCTCTTCAACACTTTAATCTCCCTAATAATTCCCCCCCCCCCCGTCATTTCAGAAAGGAGAGATGATTTTAAAAAACAAGAAATATTATCCACTCAACATTTTCACAAGAAGGACACATCCCTGATCAGTGCAGTGGTAAGCTTTATCGGTGTAAACCTGTTCTTCCAAATAAAGAACTGGAAATTAAATAAGTTATGAGTTTGGCTTAATTACCTAACTAATTAAAGTTGGGATCAAGGGCTCTCACAGCAGAAAGTTTTGTTAGTTGGGTTTTAGGGAAGAACTTAAACTGAAGTCAAAACCATAACCTGAGGTCTTATAAAGAGACAATTGTGCCCTAGCCAGTTTTGCTCAGTGGGTAGAGCGTTGGTCTGTGGACCAACCAAGGGTCCTGGGTTCTATTCCAGTCATGGGCACGTACCTCAGTTTCAGGCTCCTCCCTGGCTTGGTCAGGGCATGTGCAGGAGGCAACCAATTGATGTGTTTCTCTGACATCAATATTTCTCTCTGTCTTTTCCTTCTCTCTTCCACTCTTTCTAAAAATCAATGGAAAAATATTCTCGGGTGAGGATTAAAAAAAAGAGAGACAATTGTATAATCCTGGCCCATATACTCAGTCTTTGAAGCAGAATGTATAAAAATTAATCAGATATCTCTGCAGTTGGGATGCCACAAAAGAAAATCTTTATGCACGTGGTTATATAACTAATAGGAACAATTTTGAATGGAGTCTACTGGTATCACTGAATGATTACTCTAAAATTTATATGTAGAGAAATGAATGAAGGAATGAATAAATATGGATAAACCTTTAACAGTCTCATTTCCTTTCAAAAAGCAGAGATTTTACACTCAAGAAGAGCCTTTTGAATGTAATGATTTGGGAGAAAAGTGGACTGAAATCTTAACATTGACTCGGTGCATGATACCTCACATGGGAAAGAAACCCCATATCATACAAGAATTTAGAAAAGTGATCAATTACTTTAATCAACATAAACAAATTGATGCTAGAAATAAATTGTTTGAATGTCAACGTGGGAATGCTTTGATCCAACTCTCAGCCGTTAGACAACACAGTAATACTCAAAATGGAGAGAAGTCATTTGAATGTCATGTATGTGGGAAATCCTTTGGTAACAGTTCTAACTGTAGACGACATGAGATTATTCACACTGGAGTGAAACCACATGGATGTCATCTATGTGGAAAGGCCTTCACTCATTGTTCTGACCTAAGAAAACATGAAAGAATTCACTTTGGAGAGAAACCATATGGATGTCATCTGTGTGGGAAAGCCTTCAGTAAAAGTTATAACCTTAGCCGACATGAGATGATTCACACTCGAAAGAAACCACATGAATGCCATCTATGTGGGAAGGCCTTTACTCAGTATTCTGACCTTACAAAACATGAAAGAACTCACTTTGCAGAGAAACCATATGGATGTCATCTATGTGGGAAGACATTCAGTAAGCCTTCTTACCTTAGACAACATGAGAGAACTCACAATGAAGAGAAACCACATGAATGTCATCTATGTGGGAAGGCCTTTACTCATTGTTCTCACCTTAGAAAACATGAGAGAACTCACACTGGAGAGAAACCATATGAATGTCATCTGTGTGGAAAAGCCTTTACTGATTCTTCTGTCCTGAAACGACATGAGAGAACTCATACTGGAGAGAAGCCATATGAGTGTCATATATGTTGGAAAGCCTTCACTGATTCTTCTGTTCTTAAACGACATGCGAGAACTCACACTGGAGAGAAGCCATATGAGTGTCACCTCTGTGGGAAAGCCTTCAATCACTCTTCTGTCCTTAGACGACATGAGAGGACTCACACTGGCGAGAAACCATATCAATGCAATATATGTGGGAAAGCCTTCAACAGAAGCTATAACTTTGGACTACATAAGAGAGTTCACACTGGAGAGAAACCATACAAATGTTATCTGTGTGAAAAAGCCTTCAGTAAACATTTTAACCTTAGACAGCATGAGAAAACTCACACTGTAAAGGTTATAAATGTGGAAGATTCACTACCCGTTGATTCAGACTCTAAACACCCTTAAAGGACTCACATGTTGGGGGGGGGGGAAAGCAGTTTGTAATCCGTGTGGAAGAGCCTTTTTTCATCCTTACTTCATTCAATTGAAGTTAAATAAATATGGGGAGAATCCATATGTATGGCAGCCACTTGACAAACTCTGTACACAGTGGGCTGACTTAGAGAAAAACTTAAAGCAGTGAATGTGTTGGGATCTTTATTACACAGTTCTGTTTTTAAAAATGCCCTGGTGGATGGAGTTAGAGGGGCATGGTGCCAGCAGTGTGGCAGGGGGTGAGCTGGCAGAGTGGGAGACTGCAGTGGGGCAAGGGCTGGGGAACTGTTGTGAGGAGGTGGGGGCCTGCAGGTCCTCAGTACAGCAGGATCTGGATTCCTGCCTGGACCAGGGGGCACTGCTGGCTAGAGCCACTGTCACCACCCACATGGTGGCAGGGATTTCAGAGCACTGTGATGTACCCCATCAGCTGCATCACTGAGTGACTTGGACTGGCTCTGAGTCTGACCTGGGGCTGACCTGACCCCTGGTTCCTGTCCTCAGTCAGGACTCAGTCTGAGAGCTGGAGACCACATGAGTTCCTTCCTGGCTCCTGCCACCACCACGCAATTTGAATGATACTCCATGCCAGCAAGGTCTGGGCTGGAAGTTGATCTACATCAGGATCCAGAACCTATTTCTAAACATCAGTGAGATCTTAAGACTCTGGAATGGGAATCTATTAGCCCAAGTACTTGATCTGAGCTGGGATTAAACAGGAATAGGGTGGGATGGGATGAGAATAAGTACTATCTTGATTCAGGTGAAGCCAACTGGCATGAAGCAGACCCTTAGTGGCCTGAGATGGTCTCTGAGCAAGTGCTTTTATAAGCTTCTTGCTGTGTTTTGCCTTAAGAGTGATGAGGCAGGAACCAGAATCTGGGGTTTCTCAGTTAGACAAAAGATTTAGTTCATCTAACCCAGTGGTCAGCAAACTCATTAGTCAACAGAGCCAAATATCAAAAGTATAACGACTGAAATTTCTTTTGAGAGCCAAATTTTTTAAACTTAAATTATATAGGTAGGTACATTGGTATTAACTTAATTAGGGTACTCCTGAGGCTTAGGAAGAGGCTAAGAGGCTCAACGGGGCCAAAGAGCCACATGTGGCTCACGAGCCACAGTTTGCCGACCACAGATCTAACCCATGAATGAATGGAGGAATCAGATCAGAGGAAGTCTGTGTATGTAATCAGTGCAGGAATGCCTCTGTTTATCATTTATCCTTTACACAAATTAGCAAACTGCAGAGGAGAAAAATTCTAGTTCTGTAATCATTGTGCACTATTCTACTTAGCACCAGTCTTGGTGTGCACAAAAAAATGTAATGTCAGTTAACTGCTAAAACAAGAAATAAATGGAAAAAATCCAATAACAGGAGGGCAAAGCCTCTTTAAGTTTAGCAGATAATCTGGAAAATTCTATGGAAAGTGGTAAGATGTTACTTATTAATCAGCACTTGTAAAGCAGGTGAGGATTCACATTATTGAATACTCAGTGTAACAAATGATGGAATCTTCAGTGACTTCTCATTGCTTATCACTGGTTATCTCACTGAGAAAGGGGATAAACTTTTAGATGGATTTCACATTAGAAATTTTAGACTGGCTAAAATTATTGGACCATTAAGCAAACAATTCAGCAAAATATCCAGAATTTTACCAGAGACTTCTTCCTGAAAACATAAGATAAAATTCACAATTGTGAAGCACTCTGGGAGTGTAGAATGCACAATTTTGGTAGAAATAATATGGTCAAACTAAAATGATTAGTACTGGAAAAATGCAAGTATTAATTGGTGTTAAAAATTAGGTTGGTTAAATTCGTTTGCTTACACTGGTATAAACCTGTATTTGGGTGAGTTATAAAATATTAAACGTGAGTTAAAATATAGAGGATACAAAACCATATTCTAACTGTATTATTAATGTTATATGTATTGAAATTTTAAATGAAAGAATGATTTACCTCTATTTTTACATATAAAATGTTTAAATCAGAATTTTGACACCCTAGCCACTTAGTCTCAGTGGAGAGAGTGTCAGCCTGTGGACCCTTTGTCCTGGGTTCGATTCCAGTCAAGGGCACACTTTAATTGCAGGTTTCTCCCCTGCCGGGGCACTGGTCAGGGCTCATGCAGGAGGCAACCAATCCATGTGTTTCTCCCACATCAATGTTTCTCTCTGTCTTTCCTTCTCTCTCCCACTCTCCCTAAAAATCAATGGCAAAATATCTTGGGGGGAGGATTAATTTTTTTTTTTTTAAGAATTTTGACGATAATAATGACATAAAAATTCTCCACAGTGAAAAACATGGAATCACATTAAAACCTTGATGGTTTCTCATAGGAACCTGCTTTAATTATCTGCACTTCCCTAATTTTTTGTGGATGCAATTGTATCAGACAACCACATGTAGATCCTTTGTCATGACCTGTCCCTTTTACCATATGGTACTGCTGGCCCTGATGGAAATCACACCTTTTGTTCCTCTGCCTCGTATTTCTCCCTTATTGCTGAAGTGTGAAAAGCCCGGTGTCAAAGCTCACATAGGCATAGCCAGGCTCTCCTTTAATGCTTTCAGGGGGCATGTGGTTCTTATGTGATCTACATAGAGGTGTGTTTCCTTAGTGTGTGTGTGACTTAGAGGGTATAGGCCTTTATGGCCTCTGTGAAAGCGTTCACTGTGGAAGGTCCACATGTGATTGAACATTGTTGTTTTACATGTCGTCGTTCGGATTGTGTGTTAAGGTTTGCCTGTGTTGAAAGGGTTGTGTGATAAGTGTTGGCTCAGTGTGTGTTGTCATTACCTTTCAGAGGGTGTGTGAGGTGAGAAGCATTGTCTACCCGGCATCAGTCCACAGTCATCACCCTTGGAGCACCCGTGGAGTCTCGCCCGTGGGCCCTGCCAGGATTAGAAGCGGGAGGGGCCAGGTAATCCAGGGTCTTAGTGGTTCCGAGGTTAGGGACCTGTGGATATCAGTGATTGTGGCACTGACTGGGGCTAAAGATTAGGGACTGAGTCACAAAGATCTATGGTAGAAAGCCTGGTAAGTTTGTCAATTGAAGATGCTAAGTTCTCCACCAGTGGGGAGAACTAAAGCCACTTTGAAGCAACAATCCCAAGGCAAACATGGGAGGAATGAGGGGCAGACCCAGAAATGCCTGGAGTAGGTCAGAGGAGGCATAAGCCTACTCATTCTGACCACACCTTTCAGGGCCCCACCCTACCAGGCCTAATCTACTAGGCTGAAGCCCCACCCTGCTTCTGCTCATTTCAGGGTGAAGCCCCTCTCTGGCCACACCCTTACTGACTCAGGCTTGTCTGCTGCCAAGCAAAGTGGAAAAAGCAGGGGGGCTCTCCTTGCCCATGGTGAAGAGTAAGAAGACTGAATGTTGCTAATGTCTCATTATCTCTGCAAAGATTGGGTTGTCAACCAAGTGACATCAGATTCTATTTCATGAAATGTTTGATCAGTTCAATGACTTTCTCAATTTGGCGGATCAATACCCATTGTGCATATTTACCCCTTAAACCCCCTGCATCAGATTGTAGAATTGGAGAAATAAAAAGTAGATACTAATAGAGTTTATATATTTTAAGTTACTGTTTTGGTAGAAAACAGCATTGATAAGACTTGAACAATGGCAGTAGGGTGAAAGTAGCTGACCTCTGGTGTAATGGAGGACTCACCAGACGCCAAATGGCGCAACATGGCCAACTACACTTTGATACACATTCCACAGGGAAGGAGCTCTCTGGTCTCTTCTCCCAAAGTCTGCACACTCCAGCTTTTTTTGGATAAAGAGACATAAGGGAAAACCTAGTCACAGATGAATTTCATAGACTCACCCTAATCACACAAGCATTAAACTTAGTGCAGCGGTTCTCAACCTGTGGGTCGCGACCCCTTTGGCGGTCGAACGACCCTTTCACAGGGGTCGCCTAAGGCCATCGTGCATATCCAATATTTACGTTACGATTCATAACAGCAACATTACAGTTATGAAGTAGCAACGAAAATAATTTTATGGTTGGGTCACAACGTGAGGAACTATTTAAAGGGCCAGAAGGTTGAGAACCACTGATAGTGCCTTCCCTGGGTCACCCCCAGCCTTCATCTTGATTGGATTCAGCAAACAAAAAGTTAAACATCTGATTAAACAATGGAGAACAAGGCCATTTTCAAGGATAATTTGAAAATATTCTTCCTTTATACATGTTTATTTCCGTTCACTTTTAGGAAACATACTTTTTTAAAGAATATATTGATTTCAGAAAGGGAGAGAGAAACATCAATGAGAATCATTGATCTGCTGTCTCCTGCATGCCACCCCACTGGGGATCAAGACCACAACCCAGGCATGTGCCCTGACCAGGAATTGAACCATGACCTCCTGGTTCATAGGTAGACCCTCAACCACTGAGCCACACCGACTGGGCCAGGAAACATACCCTTTAATGAAATGTTGATCTAAATGCCAGCAACTTGAGATAGGAATTTGGGTGGTTGAGATTTTTTTTTATTTAGAAAACATCTTATTCCTAATCTTTAACACACACCATACAAACATGTAGAGCTTCTGTAACATCACACAATTCCTGGGTACAGGAACAATAATAAGACGGTATTTTTAATGACTTTTTATTGATTTTCAAAGAGAGGGAGAGAGATACATCTAGATCTTTTAAGGAAACCTTTATGTCTCATCCTAATTTCTAATCCCTGGCTAGGCTCAGTGGCAAAAGATGAAAGTCTCTAAAGATGGTGATTCACGGGAAATCACACCAGCGCTCCTGGCGCAGTCCATCTCCTAGGACGGCCGTGTTACAAGCACCAGCCACCTGCAGCAGGGACATGTGGTGCTGCTCATCAGCCACTCGTCTGTGCGGGCCACGTGGAACAGGTGCATGCATGGCAGACACCGAATGGCATTTCCAGGGACAAGGTCCATCAGATCACACACTCCTGGACATTGTCTTCGCCATCTCTTCTGTGGTCATAAATGCCTATTGGCAGTTGCTGTATGAGGCTGAGTCTTCGAGCTCTCCTGACTTTTTGCCCCGAGATGTGGGATCGGAGGCAATTCCCCATCTCTGGGCTGGACGTGTGGTCTGTGCACTGTTCTGCAGTTCACCTCCTGCCCTTCTACCTGGATTCCAGAGAAAGAACAATTTTATTAAACGTGACTCGCTGCTTGCAGATGTATGTAATGTAAGTAGGCCTTATGGATCCTCAGGAAAGCCCTGCTGGTTTGGTTTTTACCAATTTAACAAACGTGATCAGGCCTTCAGAAAGCTTTAGTAACATGGCTCAAAGATGGCACAGCTAGAATTTTAATTTTGGTTTAAGTTGTTTTTGAAACTCAAATTTCTAAACATGACCATACCATCTTGAGGGTTACACATCACACCTAGGTTTTACCAGAAATTGTCTACTCTCAGGTCAGTAACCAGAGACCCCTTTCTGTAACTACAGCCTTCTTGACTTTCAGCTGGTACATGCACCGGTCCACATGCCCAGATGCCCCTACCACCTGGGAATCTAGTCCATCAGTCTCCCAAACCCAACAGTCCTCATATTTTACTGACTATTCAATCCACATCCACTCACTGCAATGCATAGGAAGTGGGACCTAGCCTCCTCATGGCCATTCTGACCAATGTACCACATCAACTGTTCCAGTGACCCCAGATCATTCTCAATTCAGGGGCTGTGCCTGACAGCTCATGACTAGGATATTGATCCTGGTCTAAGCAGACTCGCCTCCAGAGCCTTTCCAGTGCATCCGTCCTATACTGTACTTAATTTCAAGCCTTCCCCAGGACTTGCTGAGCACACATACCCCCTACTATGGCTTTCTTATACTGATGGGGTTGCCTCCTACTACACAGACAAATTAGATCCTTTGAGGAATGCCTCAGCTCCCTGCCAGGAAGTTGACAACCATCCCTGCATTGGTAACCTCCCACTACTTTTGAAAGAAGAAACTTTCTACTAGACGTGTTCAACCTCCCTTTCCTTTCTTGGAAACTGTTGTCAGTTACATATGTTCAAAATCTGGTTTACCAGCCACCTCTCCTACTTTTTCTAGTCATTCTTATTACTAGAGGCCCAATGCATGAAATTAATGCAAGAGCAGGCCTTCCATCCCCCGGCTGCCGGCACTGACTTCCCTCTGGCACCTGGAACCTGGGCTTCCCTCCCTCTGGCCGTCAGCAGGCACTCAGGACCTGGGCTTCCCTTGCAGCCCCGGCCTCGTCCAGAAGGGGGAAGGGTGTCTGTTCTAATTAGCATATTACTCTTTTATGATTATAGATTGTCTCTTCCATTTTCACTTATTTTTCTCTGTAGTTTCTGCTTCAGCTTGCCATCAAATGAAAGCTGAAAAGGCAGTTCCTGTTTTCTCACATGCCCTCACTCTGACTTGCTGAGGTGACCAGTTATCTCAGCATGAATACATCTTGTTAATACCACCAAGTTCTTCCCATAAAGCACCTAAGGCATATGTCTCTGTCTTCTGCTTGGAACCAGAGTTGGACTATGAGCTCCCCTGGAACCTGTTTCTCTGCGACATCTCAGCTCCTGCTTGACGTCCATGTATCTTGGCCACGCCTCAGTGTCCATTGCCAAGAACAACTCAAACAAACACCATGGGGACGGCTCACGAATCTCTCCTGGTGCCTCTTCTCCTTTTTAGGAGCACTGTCCTGGCACCCCTGGAGGGGCCGAGCGACGACCTATGAACCAGATCACAGTTGATTCCTGGTCAGCGCACATGCCCAGGCTGCAGGCTCAATCTCTGGTGGGGGTGTGCAGGAGGCAAACAATCATCCTTTGCTCCTGTCTCTACACAGAGCTCTTTGACCCACCCATTCACTCTCCATATCCACTTGTCTTCAGCTCCTCACCGAATCCTCACTGATGAGGTTTGGTTTCCTCTTCCCTCTCTGGATGCAACTTCAAGAACTTGTCACTCTTCACATTTTCCTGTTTTATTTAGACATTTCCTGTCTCCTGCACTGGCCTCACTGGAGAAAGTCATGCCAAGAATTTAAGGTTAAGCACCCTTCCCTCTGTCCATTACAGTGTCGGAGAAACTCCAAGTTTACAACCACCTAACCTGCCCGACTATCAATCGCCTGAAATCAGCCTAAACACTCACGTTCCAATCGCAACACAGTGACAGGGTGACTGAAGACTGGCTCTCCTGGGAAAAGCCTTCGGTACCTACCAGAACCCAAGGGATGGAAAAGACAAGCCGATTCTTTACGAAGGTGCCGTCTCCACACCTGGGAGCTGGGAGCTGCTTCCCTCCACACACTGAGCCTCAGTCTGATCCCAGCACTCTTTTTTTATTATTATTAAATATATTTTATTGATTTCTTACAGAGAGGAAGGGAGAGGGATAGAGAGTTAGAAACATCGATCAGCTGCCTCCTGCAGACTCCCTATTGGGTATGTGCCTGCAACCAAGGTACATGCCCTTGATCGGAATCGAACCTGGGACCCTTGAGTCCACAGGCTGACGCTCTATCCACTGAGCCAAACAGGTTAGGGCTGATCCCAGCACTCTTTATAGGCAGCTGATAATCCCATCAATAATATGACGGCATCAACCACATAACCTCATAAGGCATGTAATCTCGGCAGTCACATAATCTCAATCGAATAATCCAAGGACCCACCTGAATTGCATGGACACCCTCAGGGTAAATCTAATCCATCCTGCCTCTTTAACATATTTTCCACCTAACCAGACAAATCATGTAGACACAATTCAGGAAAACTGGTGTTTCCTTTCATCGTTCCCTCCTAAAAGTCTCAAAGGCAGGGTTGGTGTCTGCCCAGAGGCCTTGGGACTTTGCAGATTAGTGTGGCTCAGATTAGGGTGGCTCCTGGGCAGGGCTACAGAGAAGCACAGCAAGAGGATCCACCCTTTTCCTTTCTAAGAGGCCGTACCTGTAAGAGACCCTAGGACAGTGGTTCTCAACCTTCTGGCCCTTTAAATACAGTTCCTCACGTTGTGACCCAACCATAAAATTATTTTTGTTGCTACTTCATAACTGTAATGTTGCTACTGATATGAATCATAATGTAAATATCTAATATGCAGGATGGTCTTAGGCGACCCCTGTGAAAGGGTCGTTCGACCACCAAAGGGGTCTCGAACCACAGGTTGAGAACCGCTGCCGTAGGAAGACGTGGAGAACTAGGGAACCTCATCTGTTTTCTAATTGCATCCACGTGACTTACCTACTTAGGGCCGTGGTCGGCAAACTGGGGCTCTCGAGCCACATGGGGCTCTTTGGCCCCTTGAGTGTGGCTCTTCCACAAAATACCACGTGTGGGCGCGCATATACAGTGCGATTGAAACTTCATGGCCCATGCACAGAAGTTGGTATTTTGTGGAAGAGCCATACTCAAGGGGCCAAAGAGCCGCATGTGGCTCTCGAGCCACAGTTTGCTGACCACTGATAGGGGACAGATTGTGTTCAGTGCGATGCTTGACTGGATTTACCTTGACGGGTTCCCAAGTTATTTAGGTTGTGTTCTTTGGATTCTATGGCTGATGAGGTTGTAGGCCAGTGGTTCCCAACCGTTTTTTAGCCATGCCCCACCTAAGCATCTCTAAAATCCTGATGCCCCCCCCCCTCCATGACATGTAATTCTTATCATTCAAAAAATGAACTCCTAATCACGTGGAGGAAGCCTAAAAGGCCATTCACTTGGTCTAAACAAGCTTCCAAAGAACATGGCATCCATGAAAGAGAAAAATAATAGAGCGAAAGGACAGTTGAAGTACTGAGGAAGAAATCACTAAGAAATTGTTTAAAAAATAATATGAAGTGATACGAAAAAAGAGTAAATAAAATTTCAAAACGGAAATGCATAAATATGTCACAACATATATGTATATACTGCACATGAGGCCCCTAGAACCATAAGAAATGCAGAAAGTTCACCGTTAATAACTCATTCTCAAATTTGCCCCCTTAAACATCACATTGCCCCCCTGTGGGCGAGTGCCCCACGCTGGGATCCACTGCTACAGACCGATGAGGTCACCAATGGCCTCAAAGGAGAGCCCCCTCTCAGAGCGGTGCTTTGTGTGGGGGAGAAAGCTCAGTCTCGTGGTGCAGTGGCCGCCACCTCACCAAGGTCCCGCCAGCAGGGGTGGGGAGCCTCTGTCCTGCCAAGGGCCATATAAAAATCATCACCTTGAAAATGAGCCTGCTCTACTCAGCCAAGCATTTACTGAGCTCATCACCCTATTGCCTCCACAAGGCCAGACCAAAGGATTTCATGGGCCTTACATGGCCCACGGGCTGGATGTTCCCCGCCCCCCTGAACCCTTGTAGAATTTCTGTGTGAACTTGAGTCCTGGAACGGTCCCAGGTAGAAATGGAGGCCAGGAGAAGGCCTTCAGAGCTCCTGCCTGTGCCCCTAAATATGTCCAGTCCCATGATTCTCTCTCATCATTCATGTTTCTCTCTCTCTCTCCCTCCCTCCCTCCCTCCCTTCCTCCCTCCCTCTCCCTTCTTCTCTGAAACCAGTAAAAAAAGAAACAGAAAAAGAGCAGCCATCTGTGTAAACGTGGAAGGGGGATCTTGTGGGGTTTGGAATGAGTACATAGACATTCAGAACAAACCCGTTCAGTCCTACACGGAGCATCTCCCCAGCGCGCCCGGGACGCACCCGTTCCCTGCACCTCCTCGCAGTCCTCCGGGCGGCACTGAGGAGGGGCGGGGGTCCTTGTCTCATCAGATCCTTCCAAGGGAAGCTGGGCCCTTCTGAAACCCTAGATAGCGAAGGGAAGGGAAGGGCAGTCAGTGCCCTGAGCAGTACAGGTGAGAGGACTTCACACTAATGTCACGAGGGAAACCCAGGCGCCACTTGCTGTAATCAGAGCAGCCTGCTTGGCCCAGTGCCGAGTGCGGTTGGTCTTAGATGGGAGAGCCCAGCCTCCACCAGCACGTGTCCTGGCTGGAGCCCCGTCTGAAGTGGGGCCCAGCACTGACTGGGGCAGGCGCTGCCCAGTGAGCCCAGAGACTGTTCCATCTGCTCCTCAGACTTCCTGCCCAGCATGACCCACTCCCTCCCCTCCCCCAGCCCCTGACAACAACGTTCTAGTCTGATTCCACGCCCTGG